TATATACATATATATATATATATACATATATATATATATATAATAAAATTAGGGTTAAACAGCATCTTAATACTTAAAATCCAGTGTTTCTACCCACCAGGCAAGATTTTTTTTTATTCTAGCTATGAAATTTGAGAATCACAAAAAAAAAAATTTCAAAACTCCTAATTAAAGAAAATAGTCAAAGTTATTTCCTACTGTGCTGACTTGGGCTACACTTCTATAGATACTAAAATCAGAATGCTATTTTTCTTACTGTGACAACTTCAGTTAGTCTTCTGGAGATAAATTTCATTTTATTGCCAAAATAAAACTGATAGGGCACTAAATTAAAATTTATTTTCATTAATTGTATGCCATTTCAATAACAAATATGATTAGTTAATATGGGCTGTTTATTTTTAAAAGTGTATTTCAAGTAGGTAAAGTTCTGTAAGTTTTCAAGTAAATCTTGAGAAACGCACATTTTATTAATGTTCTTCCATATTTTTGTTATTGAAAAAAATAGAAAGCTTTTTAAGAGGTCACTATTGCCCCCTTCCAAAAGTCAGCATTACAAAATAAGACTATAAGAGAGGGAAGGAAAAAAATACTTAAAATTACCACATCATGCCTGGTGACAGAATAGAAGAAACAACAGAACAGTAAGATATATGAAGCTTGCTTTCTGCTTTTAGGGAGAAAGAAATATAATTTCCATTCTCCAAAACAGGAAGTTTGAACAAATATTGTTCTTGAGATAATTTACTTTGTAGTAAAGACTGATAGTTATAATTTTAAGAGAAATGGATTTTAAAATTCCAGTTTATATAGTAGACTTACTGATCAGAAATTGTCTGATTCTCACTCATTATATAAAATTCTATATTCCATCTTCTATTTTGACCAGAACTTAGGACTTGAATCTTGCATTTATTTCAAAGTCCTGATCTATAAATGAAGGTTCAAGGACAGGGCAGGTGAATCCATGAATCATCCATTTATACAGAGAACTAACCTCAAATATTACTTTCAAAAATTTTTTTTCAAATATATTTTTAAAAGTTTGCCTCTCTCCAATAACAGAGACTGCACATCTGACTCATTCAAATAGGAATAATTTTATGTAACAAACATGTTTTTAAAAACTTCTGTTTAGGTGAATTTGAAAATATTAAGAATGTATCTAAACTTTTATAAGAGTGCCATCTATATATTTATAAGAAAATCATTAATATATTTGAAATCCTAAAGGTAATGTCAGATATAGAAAAAACAATCTCCTAATTTTCCCACTGCTTAAGTACTGTCCCAGTGGTGAGGAACCTAGGGCATGTGTGATGCAATAGGTTGTTATCATTGAAAGCTCTAAAAGGTTTGCCATCACTGAGCTATTCTATGCAGAGATAAATATTATGTATTATTGTTTCATCTTTTGTAAATGAAAACACAAAGGCCAAGAAAGGCTAATAGAATTTTGATGTATAATAAATAAAAATTTATCATCAAGGTATTACAAAAACTAGATGAATGAAGGTAACTGTGCTACTGGTGCAAGGTCAGATAAAGAGAAGTAGCTCAATGGAAATCATCCTTCTGGGCAGAGCGGTAAAGTAGTATATCAGCTGTACAGCAGACTTCATTTTGTAAGCTTACCTCAGTTTCTGACCACCACAAAAGTTCAGTTATTGGGCTCCATTGTTATTATTTAGATCAAAAATATCCTGACAAAAGGCTCATGTGTTCAGCAGAGGAACTGAAGGTGACTGGATCACGGGAGGCACTATACTCAATAGTGGATTGAATGTGCTGTTAGGAGGTGGAACCTGGTTGGAGAAGGTGGGTCACTGGGATGTGACCTGGAAGAGTATCTTTGTCCTCAGCCTTCCTTGCACTTGTTCCACTCTCTGCTTCCTGGCTACCATGGGCTGAGCAGTTTCTCTCTCACTATACTGGAATGGCATAGCATCATGCTGTTTCTGTCTTCAAGTCAGCTGACCATGGACTGAAACCTCTGAAACTATTAGCCAAATAAACTTCTTCACCTTAAGTTTCAAGTATCAGGTATTTTGGCCCAGTGAGGGAAAGCTGATTAACATATAGATGATGCCACATGATTGCCATGTGCAACACAGATCGGATATTAGCCCTCAAACTAGACTAAGGATATGAGCTGGTGATCTATAGTCACATATGTTTAACTGGAAGAATATGTTGCTGAAGCTATGTTTCTGTTATGTAGTTAGTAGTTTCAGATATTGCTGGGTAAGTATACAATGCTTTCGTAAGTATGTAGCCTAAAAGCCCAATCTTAGCTAGATGTTTGGACTCTGCTCCAGAACAAATGAATATAGAGGAAAACGTTCTGCTTCTCTGTCCAACCTTTAATACATCTAGTGGTGATTTTATTGTTTTTTGGGGGTGACAATTTTATCACAAATTCAATGACCTTGTTATTTGACATTATTCTCACCTTTTTTGAGGCTACTATCCGATACAATCTCAATCTTAGTCTTGCACAGCCCACATTCTTATTAGTCACTAAATCTTACAGTTCCTCTTTGATATTAGATACATTTTTTTTAGAATTTCAAGACTTCTATCCTGTTTAACAATTTTACTTGACTAAAATCTTTGTTTTTGATAGTCTCAAATAGTTATTAAGGTGACTGTTTAAAATCCAAAGATTTTGAAATGAGTTCACTTACACGAGAATGAAATCATTGCATTTATCAGCTTCATAATCTACTTCAAGACCGTGTGTGTCTCTGAAGCATACCAGTTAAAAATATGTTGAGTCTGAACCGTATGAAACTATCTTTATGCCCAACACTTAATAAGATACCTGGCCCAGCCAGGCATGGAGGCGCACATCTGTAATACCAGCACTCAGGAGGCTGTGCCCTTGGTGCAAGGTCAGATAAAGAGAAGTAGCTCAGTGGAAAAAATCATCCTTCTGGATAGAATGGTAAAGCAGTGTATCAGGCAGGATCAGCAGTATATCAGGAGGATTCCCACAGAGTTTGGCCATCCTGGGCTACGACAATGAATTCAAGACTAGCCTGTCTTGAACAAACAAATAAACCAAACCCTGGCCCATAGCTCAATGAAATTCTGTTAATAAATAAAGGGCATGTAATCAAAATTAAACCCAGGGTAAAATTTTTGCACAACAAAGACTAAATCTCTCGGTGTTTGGTAGGTACTATATTACTCTTTTCAGAGATTATAGAACTTTACCACCAAAAGAGTTTTAAGTTGCCTCTTTCCAGAGAGTAAAGGATAGAGTGGTATTAAAACAGATGTAAGTTCAAAATTCTTGTCTTTCCCACACAATACTCTCCTTTTCTACTCTACCTTGTTCCTACACCTACACCTCTAATTCCAGCTTAATTTTTATCTTGATTCAATTATCTTTTGTTTTGTAGCAGAAGTAGTTCTGCAGTTTAGCAGTGGAGAACAGCGTGAAGAATGTACTTGTCTGTTACCCCTACAGCATGGTATGTCAAAATAATTGGAAAATAAAACAGTAAAGTGACTCTAAGTATAAGATTTGTTCCAAACAGCTCAGCTCAGTCCATTATGCAATTCTGTCATCAGTTAGAACAAAGATGACTATTAGCTTATTTTCTAGGTCACTGTATTATTTTACTGCTCCTTCTGTAAGTTTTTAGACATTCTTGCATTTTAATAAATTCTTTTGTGACTTTTACAATCATCAGAATACACTGAAACTTAATTCAGGGCAAATCTAGTACAGATTCAGAAATGTCGTCAATGTAGTGAATAGATAATTTTAAGAGACTACAACATAAAGTACAGTTTTGTTTCATCTGCTCAATGCTTTTCACCTGCATAAAAGGCTACACTACAGCTTATTACCTTGAGTATGTAAACCTGGCAAAAACAAATAGATAAACTTTCCAACATGATTTATCAGCGAGTCCACATTTCTAGTGGTTTGCATGTCATAACCTTAAAGAAGGAAACCACGATAAGTAATAAAATTTAACACAAGTCAGCATTTCTTATTTCATTTCTTCACCTCTAGCCCAGTAATTATAAATGTCTCTATCTACAACCATCAAGATCCTGGTGGGAAGAGATTTTGTTTCAGAGGCCAGAGGAGGGTGTAGCACAGAGTATGTATAAATTATTACCTGAACAAAGGAAATCAATCACATTTTTTCTCAGTGCATTGAAAAAACTGTTTTCCTTTGGTTCTGGGGATTGAACTAAGGACCTTGCAGTTGTGAGGCAGGCAGTGGTACCACTGAGCTAAATCACTGGCACTGCAAAAGCTCATGAATAGGACATCTCTATTTCTTCATTTTCCATGACAGTTCCCAATTTGAATAGTCTTCCCTAATATGTGCCAAAATGTGGATCAGAATAGCAATTTTTAAAAAAGTTTCTAATCTGGGTATAGTGGTACAGAACTGTAATTCCAATTAATGAGGTACGAGATCAAGTAAGTTCAAGGCCTGCCTGAGTAATTTAGTGAGATCTTACTCCAAAAATCTAAAAGGAGATGGGAATGTAACTCATTTGCAGAGTATCTGCCTCCCTGCGTAAGGTATAGTACTCTGGGATCATTCCTATATAAATACAATTTTAAGAAGCGCTAAAGCCGGGCGTGGTGGCACACACCTGTAATCCCAGAACTCTGGAGCCTTAGGCAGGAGGGCTGCCATGAGTTTAAGGCCAGCCTGGGCTACAGAGTGAGTTCCAGGGCAGTCTCAACTACATAGTGAGACCCTGTCACACACACACACACACACACACACACACACACACACACACACAAAGTGCTAAGAGTACATTATGAAAATGTGATAAAAATATTAACATTTACTTATTACAACTTCTACTTGCTCAAATGTTTGGTGAACAGTACAAAATTTTAAAAGTCAAAGAAAGTGGAATTTTTCTGAACTTTACTTTTACAAAAATTGACCTGAAACAAATGGTATTAATAATTTATGTAAAACAAGAGAAAAAAAAAGATAGTGGTGAAGAATCCAGGAGTATGTTACAGTTTTCCCAAGATGTGTACTCATAACACCTGGAGAACAACTATTTAGCAAAGAGAAAAGGAAGAAAAAAATGCTGGGAATTAAGAAAGAGCTGACAGAAAAAAAAATAGAAACAATACAAAAACTAACGATGCTGAAGACAATGGGGGGGTGGGGGAGGGAAGCAGGCTGGAATGTTAACCTTAGGAGGGAGGAGGACCTGACTTTCCTTATGCAAGGTAAACACCAGAGAGGATTGGCAGATCTAAAGACAAATGACAGACCAGGCCTACAGTGTGAGCCCCAAGAAAAGTCCACTTTTCCTAAAAAGTTCAAAAATGGTGTGGGGTTTTACACTGAAAGTCATTTCTTTCCCCTGACAAGCTAGAGCTCGAAAATAAATCCATTGCTGCACCTGTCATATTTGAGAGCAATTAATCAGAAGCCATTTGGGGATGGGCTTAATTGTTTAGGACTCAGCTACTCCGGAAATCAGAAGTCACAGAAAAGCTGCACACTTCTGGGTTTCTGTGGTCACCTTATCATAGTGACTGGATGAAAGACAGACACGAAAGACAGTTCTGGAGAGGACTCAGACTACACATAGTCCCCACCCACCCACCCACCCCTTGCCCCAAGTACAGTATAACCTCAGGCTGGGAAAAAAAAGGGTCATGCTCAGGCTGTGAAGGACAAAGGGAGAAACCAGGATGGCCGCGAGTGGTTTTCAGAGGGGACTGGGTCTGAAAGTCCAGCAGACTGCCTGCTCACAACCTTCCACCTGCCCTGCTGCCTTCAGCCAACACAGAGCTCACTGGTCTGTTTGCTTCCCCATCTGCCAACATGATCAGGGAAATGCCTTGGCCTGGATGGCTGCCACAGTAACCATCTTCTTTTCCTTTCATTTGCCCTTTTTTTCTTTTTTGTTTTTCTGTTACTTTTATCTATTATTCTTTAATTGGATCTTTTATCTCACTTTACTATCCTCATATTTTTCAAGTAAGAACTTCAAATTTTACTTCTCAATTCCCCTTTCCCCATCCCTTTTTATTAGTACTAATAGGCTTCATTCATTTTCACATATTTAGTGATTCTACACTATTACTGTTGAATTTTCTATTGTTAATTGTGATATAATTATTGGGTTTAGTAGGTGTTTACTGCATAACAGTATTTGGCTTGCCTTTGGTCTAGATTATTGCAGATTGCCTTTCCACTGTTGGAGAAGAGAGGAAGACTGTAAAAAGAATTAAAATGTGTTATGTACCAACAATGCCCCATGATGACTGTAATCATTATGTACTGTAACATGTATTAATAAAAACTGAAAGAGAAAAAAATAATACATAGGGCCGGGGATTTAGCTCAGTGGTTCTGCCGCCTGCCTTGCAAGCACAAGGACCTGAGTTCGATCCCCTGTACCAAAAAAAAAAAAGAACACAAAAATAAAAGAATACAAAAGTATTCATATTAATATTCATAAAGTATAAGCACACTGAATAACTGGGGATTTAGCTCAATTGTGCTGCTGCCTGCCCTGCAAGCGCAAGGCCCCAAGTTCGATCCCTGGTGCCAAAAAAAAAAAAAAAAAAAAAAAAAAAGTACACTAACTTGACGTAGCTATACTTAGGTGTTTAAACACCAAGAAATTATAAGAATTTAAAATTTTATGGTAGTCATAGTTTTTAGATGTGGTCTAGGCTGAGAAGTCAGCATCAGGGCAACAACGTAGGAATTAACTCCTAGTTGGGTGTGGGGGACTGACAAAATAATGATAATAAAGTAAAACTAGGACAACATAAGACAGAAAGCATTGAGGCTACCTTGATAGTCTGGACATTGTACTCTGAAAACAATAGGCTCTCAAGATACTGGACAGGTAAGTGCCATCCAAAGTAGTGTTTTCTCTGAGAAATACAGACTAAAAATACTTTTTACGAGAAGTCTAAATGCAGATCTTGCAGTAGTGGAAGTATAAGACAATAGTCTGTGAAATAGAAATAGGACTGAAAAGATGGAAAGATGGAAAGACAACAAAGGCCCAATGAGGGTCCTGGGGAAGAATTTAAGGAGGATTTAGACCAAGGCACAGATACACAAGGACTGAGCTTCATACAAAGAAAATAAGTCTCTTACGTATTTTGGATACAGAAGGCCACCTTGCTTTGCTGACCCAATCAGATGTTCCATATTTGTGACCTTAAACAGTACTTTTAGAAGAGATACTGTAGGTGGTATATTCAATACATGGCTGAGAATATACTCTCAAACTCAGCTGCTAACTACTATTAAAATAATTTAAAAAATAGTTTAGGCACAAAATATGTCAGCAGAAGACAGAATTTTTGGCTATACCCCAATACTACTGTATCTCTGGTACTATTAAGATATCCTTGTTGAAAACTACCTCTTGAATTCTAAGTTTTCTTAACAGATCCTTACATAGATGTAGGTAGCACAACCAGAACACATTTATATATTTAAAAAAATACAACAGTTACTCAGATAAATCCATGCTATAAAATTCATCTTTTAAAGGTATACTGTTCAGTAGTTTACAGCATACTCTCACAAGAGTTGAGTGATCAACACCACTAATGAAGTTTAGAATATTTCCATCCATCCAAAAAGAAACCCTGTACCCATTAGCACTTCCTAACCCTCCTCTATTTCTATCCTAGCAATCACTAATCTATCTGTATAAATACACATTTCACATAATTTGTATCATAAACACCTTGTCTTTGTGACTTTCCTCATTTTGCATTAGGTTTTGAAAATTTATTCATGGGTGCAGTATGTACCAATACCTCACTTCTTTTCATAGCTGAATTCACTGTTCTAAGCAGATTTTTTTCACTTTCCATTTGTAGCACAAGTCATCTTAATATATGTTTGTCAAGATTAAATGATGTAATGCACACAATATCATCATCATCATCATCATCATCATCATCATCATCATCATCATCATCATCATCATCATCATCATCCAGTACCAAGGATCAAACTTAGAACCTTGCACTTGCGAGGCAGGCACCATACTACTGAGCTAAATCCCTGGGCCAGGACACAATATTTTTAAACGAAGTTATACATGCACAGAGACTATACTAAGGAATTTCCCAGCATCTCACATCCAGCAATTTACAAGAACTTTTCATACAGGAATGGTTGGACTTGTCTGTAATTCCACCTACTTAAAGTTTGATGCATGAAGATTTAAGTTCAAGGCCAACATGACAAATTAGCAAGACCATTTCAAAATATAATTTAAAGGGTGCGTGTGAGTGTGGCTTGGCTCAGCGTTAGAACTCCTGCACAAAGTGCTGAGTTCAATCCCTAGTATTTAAAAAAAATTTTTAAATTTTCAGACTGTATCACTTGAGCTTCTCTATATTGCAGGATAAAATTCCTCATGTAAGAGATTTATCACCCTTCTATTCTGCATAATATTAGTACAGTTCAAAAAACACCTTTAGGTCTTTATACTAGTTGCAAATGTATTAATATTATTTAATAATTATACTGAACACAGTCACACCTTGTGCTAAGTGATTTACACAGGATACATTTTATCTTCACTGAAACATCACAGTGTAATACTATTATCATTTTATGAATGAGAAAACAGAATCAAGAGCAAGGTAACAGAAACAAAATAAGAGAAGGACTATGAACTCAGAGTGTCTTGAGTCTGTTGCTTTCACGTAGCCTCTACACCTTAATGTTGTTTGACATAATTAACAACATGAAAAGTTGCATTTGGTCTTACATACATACACTCAGAGTGTGACAGCTAGGACTTAATAGGGGACCTTTTAAATGTTTTCCAAGGTTCTAGAACCTGATCCATTTCCATAGATGATGCTGGAGAGGGATATGAGAATATGATATTAGAGGAACTTATAGTAAAACTTTTTTTTTTGAGACAAGGTCTTATTATGCAGTTCAGGCTGAACTTGAACTCAATATGTAGTTCAGGCTGGCCTCAAACTCACAGCAATCCTCCTGCCTTGGCCTCCTGAGTACTGGGATTAAAGGCACGCACTACCATGCCTGGCCTCCTTATAGAAAAACTTGAGAAGCTTAGAGTTTATCTTAGAGGAGAATGCCTTCCACTCTCATCCAATATACTCAGAAAGGCTTAAGTAGAGACACAAATGGAAATGCCAGATTTATAGATTTGCATTTTTATTTATTTAGCAGAATAAGGGATCAAACTTAAAGACTTGTGCATGCCAGCAAGCACTCTACCACTGAGCCACACTCCCTGACCAGATCTGCTTTTTGTTTGTTTGAGTCAGGCTCTCACTAGGTAATTCAGGTTGGCCTTGAACTCACTAGATTGTCCAGGCTGGCCTCAAAATTATGGTGCTCCACCAGATTCAGGCTCATGACTGCTGGGATTACAGGTATGTGCCATCATGCCAAGGAGATTTTAAAAGACAGATTTCTGGATCAGGGATTTAGCTCAATGGCACTGCACCTGATTCAAGTACCTGAGTTCGATCTCTAGTACCAAAAACAAACAAACCAAAAGCCACAACAATAAAAAAGAGATTTATGGCTGCATGGTAGAGCATAAATATGAAAGAGGTCAAAACTGGGGAACAGGAAAATGAGAGACACTCCATGCAGAAATGTGGTTCTAGGCAGTACTGGAAGGAAAATGAGAAGAGGGAACAAAGTCAGCAAACATATCAAATAAAATCAGGGAACCCTGGTAAAGAAGCAAAGGGTAACTCAAGGGAGAGGTGAAAGAAAAGGAACCCAAGGGAAAAGTCCATCAACCATGGCTAGGATTCTTGTTTAATTAAAAGCAGTGCCACAAACAACGTGTGTAGTGGGAAATGGTGATTAGTTTAATACTGGGTATGTAGAAACTAGCATGACTCAGATTTCTAACTGGAGATCATCAGCAACAACTGGAAATAAGACTTAAGTTTAGACTCTGCATGAACATAAGTATTTGGAAGTTATCAGCCTGTATTTGAGAGCCATTTACCCTTATAGTACATGAAATCACCTATGTATACTTCCAAGAAAACATGATCCAAATATGAGAATATTTTAAGGGGAGACAAAATGTGATTATATGACTTTGTATTTGTCAAAACTCAAGAGAAATGAAAGTTAACAAATTTTACTGCACAATTATACTCATGAGCCTAACTAAAGAAGGAAAAAAGAGCATGAATAATAATGTTAAATAAGAAAGATTAATAGAATAAACTCTGACCCCTGGTGAGTCAGCTATGGGAAATTCAACTTACAAGTTGGCAGCATAATTAGATAGTTAGCTGACCATTGAGTAGAATATAAGAAATAGAATACAGTCCATTTTTGAGAAGTTTGGATGGGAGGAGAGTGCTTAAGTGGCAGCTAAATGGTACACAGGTCTGAGGGAGTATTTCTGGCATTAGAGCTAGTTCAGCACATTTGTAGAGAATAAGAAGTCCACGGAGTGGTAGTAAATACACACAAAACTGCAAGAGAGAACCTGGTAAAGATAGGGGGCAGACAGGATACTAACTGGGGACACACAGCATTCTAAGACAGTCACTTGGGGCAGGAGAAGGACGGGCAAAATACAGCATTTTACAACACAAAGATGAAAGAAGGAAGGACTAAGTGAGAAGAATGAATTTGTAATGGCACTTATACCACGTATTACCTTCTCCAGCATGGTTCCATCTTCTGGAATTTAAAAATACGGAGGTAGGTACAGTACCGATTTAATAAGAGCATTGCTAGATAGGTTTCACTAAAAGAAAATGAAAATCAGAGATTTTATAGAGAAGATCTGATAATCTACCTAATCCTCTGCTCAAATTTCACCTGCTGTTGAGGTCTATGCCTTGGACATTTTGTTTAAATAGTACAGCCTGCTGCTCCTCCTGCATTCCTTACTGTTTGATAGTTTTTAAAGTAATTAAAACTTTCTAGTGTATCACTAAGGCAGAGATCTTTAAATTTTTTTACTGATAACTCTCAAGTGCCCAGAACAAAGACTAACCACAGTGGACCCTCACTCACCATTCAGGATTTAAATATGTGGATTTTCACATGTCCCGTGGAGTCCAGATCCTCACACACACACAAATAGATAATCCTCAAATCCTACAGTTATTAAAGGAACTTTGTATCAATGTGGAAACTATTTCAAAGAATAGAAATGTGAGATAAAGTGGTGTAATTCTCCAGTGACACTGAAAAATCTTACTGAGCACTCCATACCTTATTTCGTCATCAGTAAAACAAAATGATTATATTCAGGAATAATTTTTAAGTTGTAAGAACAATGTCTGATAAAAGCTGCGTTAAAAATAACCAATGAGATGTTTTTATGTTGACTACAGCTAAATTATCAAGAACTATTGATGTGAAAACAGAAAAGAGAGAAGACATGTATTGAAGGAGATGTACCTGGGGCATTTGCATTAATAAGGCAAATGACCTTTCCAAGGGTGATAGCAGTGGTTCCCGAGGCTTCTGTATGCAAGATGAAGGATATGGGAGATGGGGAGGTTAAGACAAGATCTTCCTAACAAGGTTTTTCTTTTGCCTGAAAGAGCATGGCTCTAGACTGGCTGGAGCACCCTGTCTGCAAGACAGTAAGTACAATGGCTCTTTGTGGTAAAATGGAGGCAAAGTATACAACCTAGGGAAAAATGAATTAAATTCTGAACAAAAAAATGTATGCCTATTCATGGAGATGTATAAGTTAATTAATGCCCAGTAAAAGATATTTTGAAGTTTCCGTTGCAAAGTGGGATAATGCATCTCCTATGAAGGGCAAGGGGGAACCTCACAAGGGTCTTGCTGGGAGGCATAGCACAGAAGCCTTTCAGAACCACCCCCCCAGGTGTCTGCACTCAATCTACAGCACACGAAGTACAGAATCTGACACAGGACCAGTATCTCCAGGATTTCACTCTAGAGACCAACAAGAAAAAGAAAATAAGGATGACATGGAAAAAGTATATTTTTTAGGCAGCTATGAGGGAAAGTCTACTAGCTTAGTAGAGAAAAACCTTTACTTATCTGTTCAAATAATGCAGAATGAGCCCTCTGCAAAATGACTTGAGAGTCAGTGCTTTAGGGATTCTTCTGCTGAGTTTCATGGCTGACATGGAACCAGGAATGTACAGGAATGTTCCAGAATGGATGTCTCCAGAAGGAGATGGCAAGTTAAATTACAATGATGAATAGTAAGTAGTATAGGGATGAGGCTCGTAGGAGACTCAGACCACAGGTGCTCTCTTTTGGAGCCAGGAACTAAATCTTTCAGGGGTATTTCACATACTTCCTTTATGTAAAATGAGCAAAGAAAGGTAAGAATACATTTCAAAGTTCCCATTATTGCTGTTTGCTTTCAGAGGATCATTTTAAAAATGAGTCCTTCCTGCTAAGTAGAGACTTAGAACTCAAGATTCTCAAAACTCTGAAGACTCCTGGGCTGGGGATTTAACTCAGTGGTTCTGATGCCTGCCTTGAAAGCGCAAGGTGCTGAGTTCAACACCCAGTACCAAAAACAAAACAAAACTCTGAGACTCCTAAAAGAGTAACGGTTTTAACCAGGTGCAGTGAGGAGGTGAGGTAGGGGAATCAAGAGTTGAAGGCCAGCTTGGGCCACACGGTGAATTTGAGGCTAGCTTAAACTCACACAGACAAAAAGTGACAGTTTTTCTTCAGTAGAGAAACAAAACAAAACAAAAACCTAAATAAGCCAGTAAGCCAACACAAGGAAAAATGTAAATGTTTTGTTTCTCCTAGGAGAAGAGGAGACTGCATCACCCAGAAGAAATCACTATCCATATCACAGGGAAAACCATCCCATTTTATTTAAGGCAAACATAGGTTTGAGAAATTAAACCCAGGTTTAGTTCTAGCTAGTGCTATGCCCAAGACATGTGGCAGATCAAATCACCATTATTTCTACAAGTAGAAAAGTTTAGGTCACATCATATGCATGCCTGAA